CGTGGTGCATTTGTGCATAGTTTGGCCGTATGCCCAGTTTGACCGCAGTTGAAGCACGATTTGCCAAAATCGTCGCTGCTCCGACAGCCCTTGGATATGTGGCCGAACTCAAAACATTTGTAGCAGCGCTTTGGCTGTATTTTATGTCTTATTCGGCAGATAACCCAGCCAATTCTGATTTTACCTTGGCCTACTAGCTTATTGGCAAAGCTCTCGGGTAGGAGTAAGGTTGCGGTCTGTGTGCCTCCGTACGCTTTTCGCATCGACCGGATATCGGATACTAGCACTTTAGTGGACCCACCCTGACCATTTAAAGCTAAGCACACCTCTTCGCTTGTCGTAACTTCATCGATATCATGTATCTCTATATGAACCATTTCAGTTAGGGTCCTGACTTCTGCTTTACCTGCCAGTACTCCTTCGACAGCCTCTTGAAGTTTCGCAGTATTTACGTCCTCAGACTTATTCAGCTGAAACAGGAGATCGCCACTAGCTGTTTTCCTGATCTTCCGCACAGTTTCGCTTAAACCCTTCAGGCTTTCCTCGCTCTTTACCATTTTCAAAATGTCAGCATAAGAACACTCTCCAGAGGATTTGACTACAATGGCGTCCGGGCGGGTTGGCTTTTTTCTCTGCCGTCTTTTCGGTTTCACCTTAGTCCACTCCATATTTAAGTTGGCTGTGGTAACGTTGGAGCATAGCGACTGGTTATCGCCTTTTGGCTTCTGGGCCGTGTACACAAACATATGTACATACATACAAATATATATACATACAACCATTCAAACATATGTACATACATGAAAACATTTCTGTCCATAAGTACATACATATGCCCATCAGAACATCAACGAAGCCTGTTTGCTTCATCATAAATATATCCATACAAACATATGTACATACGAACGAATGGATGTACATAGTTACGCGAAGCACGCTTGCATCATTTACACATATATTGCCTGGCAGCGGCAGAGCTGAAATGCGCAATGACTTCGTTCATACATACATATATATGTATACATACATACATGCATTCAAACATACATATATACATATGTAGGTACTCGTACCCGTCATGCGTCGCTTTATTTCTTTTTCCCCCTTCCCTATACTATAGTTAATTAGTATAGATACGAATATGCCCCAATAGTTTTGGAGTCAAATGAAAATGCATTTCCCCATGCATATGTATGTACATATGTACTCCATTCATCGATAACGTTTTTACATGCGTACATATATAGGTATGCACATATGTACATATGTGCATATTACTGCCAAAATGCTACACCCATACATACACATGTACATATGTACAACTCACGGCAGCATACATACATACATATGCAGATAATAACACGTATACTCAAATCCAACAATAACTATTTCATTCATAAACGCATTCGCATATTTCTCAAGGTCAAGATCAAGCACATCTCCTCGCAAATTCATCACCATCAAGCGCAACTTTGTCAATCCGACACAAAAATTCTAAAATGTAAAATTGAAGAAATCTCGGCCAGCCAAGTGAAAAGTGGCAATTACTTCTCTATATCCAGTAAAATAAGTTATCTCGAATTTTGGTAATTTTTTGGTAATTTTTGACAAAACACTCATTTTCTCTGTTCCCTTCCAATATTTCAACCACTAACTAGTATTTTAAGGTGTAATTTTAATAAACATTAAATAAAAGTGTACGTTTTCTTCAGGAAAATACATTAATTTTTTTTAATAAAATCAAAATTTCTAAAATCACAAACATATGTGGTTTTATCGGAAGTTCACAAATGTAACGGGGCAACTTAGCTTGTTTTCACATTTTTCGGTCCGAAATTGTAAAATTTTTGTCGATGACGCGCCACAATTTTTGTACAGGTGGGTCAATGTGCCTTGAACACCATTTATATATATACAAAAAAAATTATTTTATTTATTTTTTAATACTAAAAATTTCTATACTTCAAAGCGTTTATAAAAATATATTTACATATATGCACGGACGATGTTTAATATCTTTCGTCCGTAAGCAAATCTTCAGTACCATAAAAGATTCAAACACATCAAAGTACAAGCAAAGCAATGTCCAAGCTAGTGCTACTCCACTGTACATGTGTACATGAATGTATGCATGTATGCGTGTAAAAAATGTCAATTCCAGTTTGCGTTTAACCCATTTTAGCGGACATAGTTTTTTTGGTTCCAGGTGTTAATAACACACTATTTTATGTTTAATCTTTATGAAACTTACATGTATCGTCGAGAACACGGTTACATGCAGAATTTTAAATTAATTAATATTATTCTCCATACAAAATGTACGAGTATTGCTTTATTAAATGCAAAGTTATGCGAAAATCTAAATATTTCGTAAACATAGGGTTAATGGTTTCGCGCACGTGCCAATCTGGTGCCGATTCGCAGAAATTTAATAATTTGTGGTGGATGGAAGCGGCGAGGGGAAGACGAAAGCAGACCAATCGTATATATGTATGCACATATGTACATTTATAAATGAATACAT